GTTTACATTTTGTTCCTGAGGCCTCCCAGCTTCTCAGGAGGAAAAATCCTAAGGAAAGGATTTTTCATTAAAAGATGTCTGTGACACCAAACCTGGGAAGGGCTCAGCTCTCCCTCAAGGAGGAGGAGGAGGAGGATGAGGAGGAGGAGGTTTGTACCTTGGCCAAGTCGTTGCTGTTTTTCCAGCTTCTGCAGGGATCAAAGTGCCTGTTTTGACTCTCCTCGCCATTCCTTGATACCAGCAGATGATTGCAACGCAATTCAAGCTCTCAGCGGGCGTTTGTTGTGTCTCCGGGCTGGGCGTGCGCGGCGCTCACCCTTGCCCTGGGAGCAGCCTGGAGAGCTCCGGGGCTTTATCGGGAACACCACAATTCCTTAAATCCTGCCCTGGGATAGGGGGGACTCCAGCTTGCCCTGTGAAATGCCATTCCCTGTGCTGTTGGGGATGGGATGGAGAGCGGGAGATGCAGAGCTGGGGGTGCAGGGCTCGCTTTGGAAAGGCACGGCTCAATTCCTGAGCATTCCCAGCGCTGACAGAGATGGAGTGGGGTGTCAGCGGAGTGTTTGGAAACCCTTAAGAGAAGGGCTGTGATCCCGGCCCTGCCGCTGCCTCGGCTTTGCGGCGAGGAGGGGACTCTCCAAACAAACCCAGACAGATGAGCTCTTTCACTGGTAATTTGTCACTTCATAATTGCCCAAGAAAAGCAGGTTGGTTTTCTCCTCCTGACCTCTCTCAAGGAGCCTTTTCACCCCAGCTGGCCCCGGGGTCGGGCCGGGGTCCTGTTGTGGCCTCTTGGAGCAGCATCCCCCGCCCCGGGGGCACAGAGGGCACCTTGGCATTCTGCATTTCCCAGTGACATTGCCATGGATGTCCCCAGGGACAGCCAGCCCCAGGCACAGCCCTGTGTGGGTGGAATGGAGCAGGGAGAGCTCAGAGGAGCTGCATTTCAGGTTCGCACTGTTCCAAACCAAACCCGGCAGCTCCGCCGATCCCCAGCGCTCCCTCCCCCTCCATCCCCACTGCCCGGGGCGGGGTGGGAATTGCACTCCAGGCTTTTCCAGGTGGGATTTGGGCTGGGGAGTGCTGGGCGGGTCTTTCTGTAGGAGCTGAGAGCGGCTCAGCAGGGCCGGGCTTGGGGAGGCGGCTGCGGGAGAGGAGGCTCCGGGAACGGGGCTGATCCCACCGGAATTGGGCTGATCCTGATCCCGATCCCACTGGGAATGGGGCTGATCCCACCAGGGCTGATCCCGATCCCACTGGGATTGGGGCTGATCCCACCAGGGCTGATCCCGATCCCACCGGGATTGGGGGCAGCGCCTCGGGAGCCCCCGGGGGCCGGTCCGGCCCGTCCGAGCAAAGAGCAAAGAGCAAAGTGCTGCTGCCATCTCCCGACAGCAACGAGCCCTGCCCGGGATGCCCTTCCCTGCCCGGGGTCCCACTCCTTTGTCCAGGATCCCCCTCCTTTCCCCGGGATCCCACTCCCTTTTCCAGGATCCCACGCCCCGGCCCTGGATGCGGTTCCCTTTCCTGGGATCCCACTCATTTTTCCAGGATCCCACTCCCTTTTTCCAGGGATCCCATTCCTTTTTCCCGTTTTCCCGGGATCCCACTCCTTTTCCCTGGGATCCTCTTCCCCTGCCCGGGATCCCACTCCTCATCCGAGGATCCCACTCCCTCATCCTGGAATCCCACTCTTTTCCCAGGATCCCACTCCCCAGCCCTGGATGCCCTTCCCTTTTCCCGAGATCCCACTCCCCTGCTGGGGATCCCACTCCTTTCCCCGGATCCCACCCCTCTGCCCCTACCCAACTCCTTGTCCCTGCCCAGAGCAGCCCTGGGGCTGGAATAAACAATCTATAGTGAAAAAAAGGTGGTTTTTAAAGGATTTTAAAAGTTTTTATTTTTGTTTCTTTGTTTATTCTCTTTTTCCCTCACCCTGCAAGGCAGCAGAGATGAGGAGGTGAAGCTCTGCCTCTCTCACTCACAGTGCCCCAAATCAGCTCCTTCTGAGTGGTTTTCTGCCCCTTGAAGATGCTTTGCTCTCAATCACTTCCAGCTCCTTCCCTCCTCCTTGCCCTGGCTCTGGAATTCCTGTCCTGACCCTCAAATTCCTGTCCTGACTCTGAAATTTCCTGCTGAGGTGACTTGCACAGCCCAACAGCCCAGCCATTGAATTTTAACCCATTTTCCCTCCTGGGATGCCCCTGCCTGCTCTTCCCTCCCAGCCTGACCAAG